CATCGTGCAATCCCACCGCACACTCCACATCCAGTATTTAATAAAATAATGATTTAAGACATAAAGAGATTACAATATAATTTCAACACAATTTGAAACTTACAAATTAAATTGAGAGCATGTGTTCTGACGTGACAAAAATAAGAGATAAACATAATGAAATACATATATTAAGTACTAGTGTTGTAATGAACTGTACAAATAATACTAAAGAGGTGTTCACGGGGTCAAATCGTTTGAAAACAACATCAAAAGACACTCTCAGTGAGAATCTGAGATCTCAAGGATTTGAGAATGCAAAAATTGGGAATACAGAAAACAATTTTGACAAAAAAAAAAAAAAAAAAAATTTTTTAAAGATGCTTAAAATGGTATGCTGGAGTAGGTTATTACAGTTTATTAAGTTCACAAGTAGAATATTTCTGAACATATTAACAGGATTTATTAAATTTATGCACTAAGTTCATTAAATTTATGCAGCATGAGGAACTTATACTTAGTAAAGATCTAGGCCGTAGGAAGAGAATCATTGTAGTAGGATGGGAGGTTTCACAGTGTATAGTTAATAGGTACGCATCTAGCGTATGGAAGCTGCTGATTATAATGGGCGAGCCACTGCGCCCCTGTACCTGTAGTTAGTATTACACTAAGAGGCGTATTCTGCACCATCAGACGTTTGGTTGCATCAAAGATTGTGTGAATTGAGTTGCTTTAAGAAGCATGCTATGAATCAGAGACGAACAGAACAGACTCTTGAAATCGAATAGATGGTGCTTCGCCAAGCAGAAAACATTCCACTTGACAGTACAAAACCAATAGCTACTCGCATCGGCCTTCTCCAAATTACGAGTTTGGAAGATCCTGAATTCGAACTAATTACATCTTCTCTTCATCTTTAATGTATAATGGTCTTACGTAATCCGCTCCGGTCGTTTGGAAAGGATATGCTTCTCGAGATAGGCCATTATTTTTGCTACATCTCCATACTCTATTTCTTCATGACAATCCTTAAGGATAAGGCAGATAATTGACAAGAGCTTGGCAACAAACTGGATGTGTTTATTGGTGGGAAATGTTAGCATGCTAAAGACACTCTCCTATTAAAATTATTCTTCTCCCATCTAGAATAGGATTAAAAAATGACCTAATGATAAAGTTTGTTGACAGTGGTTTTCCTTTGGTTAAAGCCAAATATTCTTCAGGAAAGTATTCTATCTGTGTCCTTTACTGTTCAGCCAGCTGAAGTTCTTCTGCAGCTAATCAGCCATTCTTAAATTATGCAGATTCTTCATACTGTAAATAATTCTTTGAATCCAAGCTGTGAGAAGACATTTATTTCATTTGCACATGAATTAAAAAAAGTGTGGCATTAACTTATAATCCTATTTATAAATCCTAACTATTTTTTTTAATGGAGGGGCGCTTTATTTAATAATGCCATTACAAGGGTCGGAAGCGGTGGCCATTTCATTATGGAAGCTCCTATTAGATGGCCACCGTTGTCTCCCATGAAGGAATGGACACTTATAACCATGCCTTCTCCGGGATTTGAAACCGAGCCAATCGCTATGGCAGTCAGGGTTACTAACCACTATACCGGCTGGCCGGCACTTATCAAAAGATAAGTATACTGAGTTATGAATTTTTGGAAGAAGAATAATGGCTTTGTTTAGGAGTATATTTATCTGCGAACAGTTTTTTTCCTCCCGTAGTTAAAAAGTAATAAGTCTGATAAAAAACCAGACTGACTGATGAGTATCTACAGTTCGTGATTGAAGATAGTTTCTAGCAATTTTTCTTCAAGGTTACAACTTTATCAATATCGAAACGTCATCAGGAGTCAAGCTGCAGTCCAAAATAAAGAATTTCAATAAATAAAAGATAGAGAATATGTTGTCATTATTTATTCTCTAGTTTTGTCCCACCTGGAATATTTCCATAATTTTTTAAAAATTTAAGTAAGTTATTTAGAGCTTTATTTTATACAGTTTAAATGAGTTATTTAGTAGTTTATTTAGCACATTAAAATTATTTGAAATAAATGTCAGCCTGGAATTTAATATTATCCGTCAAACCATTTGAATTATAAAGTGTACCCATTAGAAATTTTTTTGCGAATACCAACCTTTGGACTTCAGGCAGAAAATGAATATAAAATGGAATTTTTTTCTTTTGCGGTATTATTGTTAATATTTACGTATGTTTTAATACGCATTTATTTAGTAAATAAAATTTAAAAATTTAGTTTTGTTTAAAATTTCGTTTTGCTTAAAAAAAACTTTTAATTTTTGAAAATGGAAACTTTTAACTCAAAAAATCGGCTCGTCATTTGCTTTTAGATCGGGCATCCCACTCGTATGCAATTTTGAGATCAAAGGTCTACAGCAGCCAACCCGCGGCCCTCAGGCAGAATGCCGCCCACCCTGTAAAATTTTGCGCCCTCGAGGGATCAGCCTACGTCTGCGAATCTCTCTTTTTTTTTTTTTTTTTAAATGAAATTGACAAAACATGAATACCAGGCATTCTTAACTAGCGAAAATCAGTTACGATGTACAAATACAAGTACGAAGATCGACCTGGAAAACAAAATTAGTACTAAAAGAGAGAAGCAAATATCGCATTGATTATAGTAAATATTATTCGATTCCCTTTATTTATTATTATTTTTATAATTATTTACATATAGCAGAAATTTTTAACTGTTCTATTGTTAATTTACGAATAACAGCAGAAACTATAGTAATAATGTAATGAAAATTGTTCCTTTCTCCCGAGCACATCGTGCCTCAATAGGTAAGATTTCGGACTGGGAAACCGAACGTTCCGAGTTTGAAACTCGTAAAGAGCAAGTCACCTAAAATTAACTTTTGTTAAAATTTCCTTTCTGTTACTTTATTTCATTGATTGACGAATGAGTTGCATTTTCTAGAACATTCCAAATTTAGTATGTTCCAGCTCGTTCATGAAGTATATATAAGTGTTTACTTATTAGCTTCGAAAAATAAAGTTTTGGTTGAGAGTTGAGTACTTTCATTTTTCTTAATGTTATGTTATGTAGAAGTGAGGGGGGTACCTAATATATACCCTAAGTAAGGTATTAGCCCCACACACTAACTAGAAAACTAACAACATTCTGGCATCATTTCCTCGAGTTGTGATGGAAAATGTGACTTCAGTGAGCACTGTAAGTATTGCCACCGGCGGCGGCATCAACGATACTCCTAGCCTTTCAGCGTTAAATTAGCTCAAGTAAAAGGGATTGAGTTACATGATATACATTGCGAAATACATAGTTGTGCAGGTGCATATTTTGAAGGTGTTATCTATTGTAGTGGGTACAGGCAACATGTTTCAAGACATTATATAGTGCATTAGAAACAGGCGGGATGTTCCCACGTTACAGATCATTTTTGTTAACATGATCTGTTTACTATCAGAATTAATTAAGAACTATAAAATTGTTTACAAAGCTTACATTTAAGTACTGTTGTAAAGTTGTGCTGAAACTTTAACAGCTCAATTTTGACGATTCATTATGTGCCATTTTTCTTAATACGATCACTTCATCTACGTGACAATAACGTATTTTGTTTTTAAATGTTTTATCTAAAAAATATATGTGTATATTTATACAATTCGGCCTGCCAGAAATAAAATCCATTTCCAAAGCGGCTCGCAAAGTCTTTTGGGCTGGACAGACCTGGTCTATATAAAATTCTCAAGAGTACACATCAGATAATTTTTCTCTCTCGCCTTTCAAGGGATAAAGTTAGCAAAATTAGGGGAAATACTCAAATAAGTATGGTATATATATAATACACGCTACTGGCCATAAAAATTGGAATACCACGAAGGAAAGAAAATACAAAAAAATATTTATTGCTCGCAAACAGTATGGCATGAAAACAAAATTGTTAAATTTGTAAGCATTTTCGAAGTTCACAGGAGTGCGAAATTAGTAGAAACAGCTGTCAGGGGCGGAAGCTGTTGGCAGCTGTTTCTACTAATTTCGCATCGCAGCTGAAACGGCCCTTACACCATTAGGCATGGAGTCAAACTGGGCTTGGATGACAGATATGGTAAACTCATTCCATACTGCTTCACGTCTATGCCACACTTCATCAACCGTATTAGCTGGAGTGGGGTGGCGGGCCAGTCTCTCAGAAACCCATGACCAGATGTTTTCAATGGGTGACAGATCTGGAGACCGTGCAGGCCAGGGCAACAATCGACCTGTGCATTGAGGACGTCAGAACACGACGTGCAACATGTGGTCTTGCATTATCTTGCTGGAACATGGCAGTTGGGGAAACTCGAAGATAGGGCACAAGCATGGACTCAAGATGTCAGAAATGTACCCATATGTGTTCAACTTACCGTCGATCCGAACTACAGGTGTGAGTGTCGTGTACCCAGTGGCTGCCCAAAACCATCACACCAGATGCAAGGCCCCTATGCCGATATCGAATGCAAGCAGGCGGTCTCCTCGGACACACTAGACACATATAAGGCTATCAGAATACTGCACGTAGAACCGGGACTCGTCTGAAAAGGCGACATTGTGCCACTCCTACACCCAGGTTTGTTGTTTGGCGCACCAGAGTCGTGGTCTCTCTCTATGCTGCATTGTCAAGGGAAGCTGACGCAATGATCAGAGTGCTGATAGCCTACGCTGCTGCAAACGTGGATGCACGTTACAAGCTGATACTGGGCGTACTGCGAACATGCCCATTTAATGACTAATGCTCCGTATTGTGTTCGTACGGTTTCGTAGGACTGACCTCACAATATGTCTGTTATTTCTGGCTTTAGTCATGTGAAGGCGTTGAGATCTTGCATGCCGTTCCGTATGACCTTCACCTGTTCACTAATTCCATATTCGCATGACAGTGGTTGGATGTCGTCGTCACTTTGACGTTCGTAAAATCATTCCTTCCTGATGTTTCAATTTTAATGGCCAGTAGTGTATATGAATATGTACAAGGCGAATTTTGACTTACTTTATTTCCTAGTAAAATTGCAGGTAATAATGAACCGTCAGGTAATTGGCATTTGGCATCAACATCTTTTTTCCATTTCATCGCGCTGTTAAATGTACTTCTTTTATTTAAATCAAAAATAACTACACAACCCTGAGCATCTCGGTAATACACTCTAGTCATCCAAGTAAATCTTTCTTGACCTGTAATATAAATTTAGAAATTATAATTAACCTTTTGAAATATACAATGACTTTATTAGGGAACTGTGAAATATTAAATATTACCTGCAATATCCCACAGCTGAAGTTTGATAACCTCATGGTCAGATTTCCATAATACTTTCATTGCAAAATCAACTAAAAGAGAAAGTAATGAAATAATATGTAATAAAGCAAGACAAAGTAAACCAAATATTGATTTGCCAGTTTTTTAAAGGTTGAAGTATCTCCTTTGAATAGTTTCCAATGCCAGCAAACTTTAAAATGCAGCATTAATTGAAAATATGATTATTCATAACTTTGCTTTTATTGAGTCACAAACTGGCTAATTAAATCTTTATCTTTATCATTATTACTCAACCTAGTGAATTACGTATATACAAATGAACAAAGAGAAAAATGCTTAAAAGTAAATGTTAGGTAAATTTAAATATTCCCTTAGGTTAAAAATTATCACAGAATGTAAGAAGATAAAATAAAAAACTCCGAAAACGCTAATTTCCGAGTGGCATCAGTCTTGCACGATGGAGATAAAAATACATTATTTTGAAAAGTGTTGCTGCTGCTCGCTTTCAAATCGTAAAGTTTGTTAATCCAAAATTTTTAAGTTTTACAAAATATGAAATAAAAAATCTGAAAGCTTTCAGATTTTACATTACGCCCAAAGGGTCGTTTTTTTAACGTTTTGTGTGTTACCATTAACTATTTATTTATCATGTTCTTTGCACTTAAACCATAAAATTGAATGCAACAGTAATATCGCAAAATAATTTTTAAATAAGCTTATCTTTAGAATTTCCGATACACAGTCTGGCGCGCTGGAGATAAAAATGTCTCTTTTTTCCCCCCGTACAGTGTTGCCATTGCTCGCTTTGAAATCGTTGAGTTTGTTAATCAAAAATTCGCTTAGGTGTTGCAAAATATGAAATTGATAATAAATCAAATTCCATATTCCAAATTAGGGCTTCCAGATGCATATATTCAGTGAAGGATTAAGTTATTCAAAATTTGATGTCTTTAGGTACCGTTGTTTTATCCCAAGCGAAAAAACATACACACATTTATGCATATTCTTCATTATTTAATTCCCTTAAATATAACACAGGGCGATAATATTTGGTGGCAACAATTTCAAAAGTGAAAAGGACATTTAAAGTTTTCAACGCAAAATGACAAAACGAAATTAATAGCCCTTCTGGGCTAACAACAAATAAAAATAATAGCAAATCAATAATGGGGGGGGGCAAAATATATTGCACTCGACTAATGTACTGACGGCAAATATAGTCATTAATAATAGCTTTTTGTCCCAATAATTGTATGCTTTAGCGCTAGTGGGAGAAATGAAGACATAAAGGGAGTGAGGGAAAAATTATTTCTGAGCAGACCAGGGATCAGTGACATACAAGAGCAAACCTTGTAATATAGTAACCTTGGTGAAAAGTATCAAAATATACTTTACACAGTTTTAATTTGTTCACTAATTTTTTTGCTAGATTTTATCTAATCTATATTGCTGGCCATTAAAATTATTACTCCATCAAGGTAGCACATAAAAAATCTGAAATTTGCGTGCAAGGTAACACATATTAGGCTATGAAAATGTTAGCATTTCACGACACGCGCATATTACAGGAAAGTAATAACTTATAGAAACAGGGCAGACTGAAATGCCAATTTTTGATTCAGAAATTACATTTACTTGTTACTTTAAAATTAAGTTGTTAATGACAGAACTACAGAAATTAATAATGTTTATATTTAGATTTTACAGAATAAATAAATGTAGCCGTTTAAAAAGGACGTTTAAATAAAATTAGCATTTTATTCCTGTACCTTGTTTAATGCAAATAGGCAAACATTCTTAAATTTTGATTAATGATGAACAACCATGAACAATGATTTGCAAATAAATGCAGAATTTAAGTTTTTTTTTACTATGACGGTAGTAATCAATTTAAAATAATGATAGCGAATTAATTATATTATTTGTAAAATTATAGACGAGGCTCAGTTACAATCCGTTATTTTTTCGAAAATCATTGATGCCCACATTCCTAATTTGTGTGGCAGAAAGTCCAAAAATATTACAATGATGCGTGCTGAGTTTGAGACCTTCTGACACTAAAGCTCTAGATTAAGCCTTGTGAGTCTAAGACCTGACATCAGATAACCTGTACATAGGCTCATTTCTTTTATTTTCTAGTTGCATATATAGTTTTATAATTTTTTTTTACTTGTAATCATTGTAATGCTTGAAAAGGCAAGTTAAGATAAACAATACGAAGTTATGAAAGTGTCCACCATTCAATCTCATAACACAACCATCTATGTATCGCCTGGTTTGTACAGCAAGAGGTATTATGAAATAAAGTCGGTCCAATTAATATCTTAGATTAAAACTTTAAAATATTTATACTGAATAGCAGCTTGGAATCTGTAGGTTTTGGGTTAATTCTATTATATGCTTGTTAGAAAGAACACGAAACATCCCCGGATTCGTTTACCATCTTTGAAGTTGGTAATGATTTCTTATTTTTTTCTCCCATGGCGGGCACTAACAATTTTAAGCTTTGGCCACTACTAAGGCTAGAAGCGGTGGTCATTTTATTATGGAGGCACCTAATAGGCGATCACCATTGCCTACTAAGAAGGGAAAGATAATTTGCATCCACACCTTCTCCGGGATTCGAACTCGAGCCCTTCGGTAGGAGTTAGGCAATGTAATCCGTGCATAAGAAAAATTAGAGAATGTTCCCGTTTTAATTCGGTTATGTAAAACATATTTGCTTCATTACTTTTATAATTTAGAGATTCTTGTGTAAGGATGTAATTTTATTTAAAGAATTTCTATCAATCTGAAGACTTTATTTTAATTAAACGCTTTAGAAGGAAAAATTACACATATGCATCATTTGCATTGCAAGTTTTAGAACTAATGATTGTTATTTTTTTGCATCAATATTATTAAAATGCTTATAGAAATCTACATAACTTTATGTAAGTAGTGCGTAACTTAAGCTCGAAAAATCTAATTTTGTATTCTTATTAGATATTAAATGTACACATAATTACCACCAACTGTTCCTTTGTAATCATTCCGGAAGACATCGTTGACATACCTTTGGACGAAAGATGTTTTACCAACCATTGCATCTCCTACTATGATGACTTTGAATAATCTTTCAACTGTTGAACTGGTAACTGAAAATAAATATTTACAAAAAGGTTAAGAATATAGTCTATTTGATTCAATCTGTCATTCTTTGTATATATTTTACACTGGATATGAAGAAATAAATATTTATTGATATTTTCAGCTCCTTCTCTTACCTTTTTAATTTCGAAAATACCGTCAGATAAGCACTTTTTTTACTGCTAGCTTTCGAAATTTCATTGTAATATTTCATCGATGAACGGGTATAGAAGTCATCTGCAAATTTAGTTGGGCAGGGAGGCAAAAGTGGCATAGACAAAATTAACATATACATAAGAGAGAATACTTACCTGAACTATATTTCGCCACAAAAGACAAAAGAAACAAGCCATCTAAACACTTTGTTCTATTGGTGGTCATATTCCAGAAAACTGGTTTTTATGTATAAGGTATATTAAAACTGATTCTACGAAAGATATGCCTCGAAGGACATAGATTCTAATATTGAAAAATGGCTAAGATGGCTAAGCTATGTTGATTAGCTGTATATGTGTTTTCTTTTACCTATATACTAAACTTTTGGAACTTTATGGATATTTCTTTCTTTTTTACCCTTCCTTGTAGAAAACTGGGATAGCTGTCATAATTGAGAAAAGGCTCATGAGAAATATATAGTTGCTCTTATCATCACAGAACACAATAATGAAAGGTACAAAATTGATGAAAAGAGATTTTCATTTCCCGCTCTGCATTATTTTAGAAAATACCTTAGTTCTCGGTGGATTGTTTTACACCTTTTAAGAAAACAAATTTGAGAGTTAAAATTCCCTTTCTTCCCTCTATTCATTACTGTATTCATCATTTCATGCAGTTGAGCGTTCTTCTAACAAAAGTCATAATTCTGAATGTTGCAATTATTACATTTTTAAACACTCTTTCTTGTCTGTTGCTGAAGTCATATTTATGCAGATACTAAAATGGATTTGGAAATGATGGGTTAACTGTCTTTAATGGCCGTGGATATCCTGATAGTTTTGACCACCTGTAAGATATATGCTACATTTTTAGTAATGCGCTAAGCTTAAATAAAGTTAATTTAATTTTTTTAAAACGTAATTAATTTCCGTACGTGAAACTGTTCATAAATATACCAAAATTAATTTATGTATATGCATGAGCGTAAACGATTCCACATATTTGTGGGCAATGATTTATTCCATGCACCAATGAATGGATCGGTTTGATGAACACTGCTCATTTTGAGGTGGGTAATCTACATCATAGTTACATCATTATAACAGAACTTTAAATTTCCTTTTCAGAGGCTGCTATTCTGCAAAACAACAACAACGAAAAAAAAAGAAAAAAAAAAAAAACAATTAAACAGCAATAGCATTTCCGTCTCATTCGAAATTAGGAAGTTTCAGCATTAGATTGTCGTTGGTCAGTGGAAGACTGAAATATGTCTAATTTTGAATTTCATATTGGCGAGATTTTGCTCTTATTATATTTCTGTCCCTTTTTAGGTAATATTCACTTGGTATAAAATACCTATAACTGTAATTTAAAACTATGTTAGGGAATGGAATAAAAAAGGAATGGCATGTATCTTCAGACAGAGTACGGAGTTTCATCTAAGCATGAACTATTGCTGTAGAGAATTCTTGGAAGAAAGGAATTTATTAAGTTAATTTTTTTAATCGTTCAAGATCAATACGACGTATCCGAAGTTCTAGATTAGTATGTCAAGATGAAGAAGAATTAAAGAAAATTAATCATAGACCGATATTTAGCAATCGAGTTTTCATTTGGATAAGTACATTTTAAATTACTCTGGAATCATATAGAGTTTATTTTACAATGAGATTTTCTCATATGCAGAGGATTATCTGTACGTAAAAACAAATTTAAGCTACGATAAGACACCAAGCTTTCTCTCGCTTTGCAGTTTTCAGTGTAGAAGTATATGTGATGACTTTTCAATTATTTATCTTTATTTCTGGGTTTCTGAACATTTAATGCTGCAGAATGAAAAACAAAATTATTAATGATTTAACCTCACTGATGAAGGGGAAGTCAAACTGTACATTAATCATGTTAATGTTTTGCGCATAGAAAAAAATGTTGAATAAATATCATATAATTTTTTAAAAATTAAGCAGTATTAATATATAAATTATTCAGTATGTTTAATATACTGAATAATTTATTAATGAAACTAATATGTAAGTTTCATTAATAATTTAATAGTTATTACAGAAACTCGAACAATTAAAAGCTCACACATTTAAATTTATTATTAATAACTTAAAATTAAAGGAAAATGTTATTCATATAACGTCCATCATCAAGTATTCAGCTGGTTCATTTCCGTAACATCAATTGTTTTCATTTCGTACAATAATAAATTTATACATTCAGTTAATTCAACTTTTCTGTTCTAAATATTCTTTTAAAAATGAAATAATAACTAAAGAATATTTGTTTCTTGCTTTGCCAGCATTTGAGAACAGCGAATGATGATAACGTGATGATACGCACAGAATAATTTTTGAGAAACCAGACAATCTATTAGGTTATTAGGAGGTCAATGAATTCCAGAAGGGTCGGATCTTTCGGTTCTTCTTCAGCCGCCTCGCCTCCCTAATGTGTTATTGAAGATCAGAAAAGCAATCTTCTCGAACTGTGAGTGTCTTATACGTATTAGACCTAGAAATATACCCTTAGATTATTCTCATAATTTAGATAACATACAGGTAAATTTTACATGAAGTTATCCTACCTACTATTACTATCTTTTTCTTCTTCTTTTTTGTTTTCTTAATTGTCCTTGAGCTAATTGAAGAAAAAGGAAAACTAAATTGAGGAATAATGAGAGTTCGGGTGAAAATGATCGCAAGATGTTGAAATATTTTTCCCTTTCCTTCGGAATTAAAAAAAAAAAATTAGTACGAGGCTGTGGCCTTATGTATGAGGCCATAGCCTCGTACTGATTAATAAAATGGCTCGTACTGATTAATAAATTTACCATTGAACTTAAAATCAAATAATATTTTCATCTTTTTTTAAGAGTTTATAAGCGCTTTCATTCATTACTGGTTGTAAATCTCCATTTCCACCTTGTTCTGGCAGTATGCAATAAGTTATACAAATCTGTAACAACAATTAGTTGCAAATCCATCAGAATAACTTGCAACAGAACAGCGTTTATATGAATTGCAAATATTTTCCAAGAATTTTTAACTTTAAAAGTGAATGAGCTTTATTAATAAATACGGCTTAACAGTTATAGGTAAACAGGTTATTAACGAATGGATCAAAAGTCAATCAACTAGTCTTGCCAGTAAGTGTAAATGAATAGTGTAGGTCATTGAATTGTTTACGAAAATATGGAATGCAAGAATGAAAAAATGCAAAAAAAGGAATGCGAAAATGCAAGAAAATACTTAAAAGTTCTAATGGACAACCGAAGATTTTTACTAAGACTCTCACAAAAACATAATATGCAAGCGTGTGCAATTTTAGCTATAAGAAAATTATTTGAGTGTAGCTTAAATGGATGAATATTGAGTAAGCGGAGAAATTAATGGGTGTTTAAATTATAGCATAAAATATTACAGGGAATATATGACTAAGCGGGTCGAGGCAAGCGCAAACCAGGATTGAAAAAGTTCAACTACTACTGATGGAAACAAAATTGGCTGTTACCTCCAGAATCATGAAAATTTTACAGTTTACAGCAGAATTTACAAGAAAACCTTCCCTCTAAATTAATATGCTTGAAAACATTTTGCTCATTCATTTTTCTCATTTTGTAATTAAATATATAATACAGACCCACAAAATGAGAACCACAAAAATGTGTTCTTTCCCTTTGATATTTTTCATTCTTTACAGACACTAGGACAGAAATATGTAATGCGGTTCTTACGGATTCTAAAGCTCTTAAATGTTTTCGAAATCGGATGAAAATTTTCGTAGCTGGTATTCAGTTTTTAATTAACAGTTTCAGGAAATATTTTTATTAAAAAACATGTGAGTGAGAACCTAGCACAAAATAAGAAATACATTATTGATATTATTTATATATTAAAACTTGTTCATTAAATGAAGGATCAATACTTTTAAGAACTCATATTCATGTTAACAGTATATGAGACTGTAAACAATATGACAATGGGATAGTTTATATGAAACTGTAAACTGTAGAACAAAATTATTTTTCTAGTCGGATAATTTCTGGCCCGAAAACAATAACCAAATCATCCCTAAACGCTTTTTGAAATACTTTGATTGTTAACGCACATTGGGTTTTTTAAAGGGCTATTCTTGAAACAGTTTTCCCTTTTTGCCTGTTTCTGGAGAATAGTGGCAATATTATTCTTGACAAATAAATTTATATTATCCTTGGTCGAGTTCTTAAAATCTGGCAACCCATCTTTATGTAGAAAACTTTTGCAGGCATTTAAGTTTAGGTTACATTTATTTAAAATGGTAGACTTTAGGCACGAACTGTGTATTCTAGTGGCATTTTGCCTATGAGATTTAAAGCCTAGTGTACTATTTTTAAGATTCTCAGGAGTACTATTTATAATATTGTAGTTCTGGGTTTTAGCCATAATTTGTGTGAAAGAATTTTAACTGTGACCTTCATCTTACAGAATATGTGATGTTGAACTACTACATTCCCCTCTGAGACGAATTTTTAACTATGCAAATTTTTCTTCTGTAAGCTTCCTTATGTTCACTGGATTTGATCTCCTTTTTTTTGCATTTATTGTTGTAAAAAATCTCCTTTGAGATATATCCATGCTTATCCCAACATGCACCTCCTGCTAGTGAGGGCAGATTAGTCTTAATTCTTGCAATCACAAAAATAAAATAAAAATCAACTAATTTTAAAATTTAAACCTAAATAAAAAATTGAATTATAAGGTATTTCCTACTCTTTCTTAGCATGCAATTCGGGATGTAGTGGTCAGCACGCTCGACGCGTATTCGAGAGGTCCGTGGTTCGAGTCCCGGAGAGGGCATTGCTCATTTTTTA